TAAAGTAGTCTTAAACTAGATTATTTTTGCAGCCTGTTTTGGACCTGAGAAGGTCAGAGGATCAACAGGATTGTACTGCTCCTGCTTTTGTTAGCAATGGTCAGCCCAAGACAGTTGCATTCCAAAACCAGGTCAGTTGTGTTGAATCTAAATCAAGGTGGGCAACTTTCATTGGTCCAGGGAGCTCTTCCTATGGCCTAAGCACCAAGAATGGGCCACATCAAATGTGGGAAATGCTATGGGGGGATTACAATTTCAACCAGAAGTGGCTGGAAGTCCACTTCAAGTTTAATTTTTCTTCTTTTTATATTAGAGTCCTTTGCTCATTTAGAAAAAAAACTGCTGCTCTATGAAATCTCAAGGTGTGAAAAAATAAATTTCTTAGCAAGAATTTTTTCAGTCATAAGAGGCTATTGGGGAAACTGGGGGCTTACTGGTTGCAAAGTGTTCTTTGTGTGCTGTCCATGTGCTGTATTTTGCCATTTCTGATTTAGGTAATCTTTCAAGACGTTTGAAGTTCATAGAATCATAGAGTTGGAAGAGACCACAAGGGCCATCCAGTCCAACCCCCTGCCATGCAGGAACTCCCAATCAAAGCATCCCCAACAGATGGCCATCCATCCTCTGCTTAAAGGCTTCCAAGGAAGGAGACTCCACTACTCTCCGAGGGAGTGTGCTACACTGTCGGACCGCCCTTACTATCAGGAAGTTCCTCCTAATGTTAAGATGGAATCTCTTTTCCTGGAGCTTGCATCCATTGTTCCGGGTCCTAGTTTCTGGGGTGGCAGAAAACAAAGTTGTTCCCTCCTCAATATGACATCCCCAGCTCCCTAAGTCGTTTCTCATAGGGCTTGGTTTCCAGACCCTTCACCATTTTAATTGCCCTCCTTTGGACAACTAAATTATCAGTTGCCTGATAATTACCCATGCTTGCAAAAGGAATTCCACATGTTAGGTTTGAAAGAGAAAGGAGTGACCTATATGAGATTTTAGCACAGTGTGCTTCTTTGTTCTTGCTTGGGGAAAAGGAAATGTGCTCTCCACCCAAACAGCTTGCCAGCCCATCGAGGAAGGCCCTGGTGCATCCTGGGGAAGTAGTTCAACTGATAGCTGTGAGAAATCTGACTTCTGTTGCTTAAAGAAATGTATACTTTCTTTTTCACACAAAAAATTATACCTTTATTGGCCAGCCAAAATGCACTTTGTGGATGTTTCCTACATTTTCTTTTTATTTATCTTCCATGCTCTGCATCCATATCTCAGCTACGTCTAATTGGTAAACCACATAGTACCTTTCAGAGACATACCTGTGTCAGTATGGAATATCAGTGTGCAAAGGGATCTTGTACCACCTTTGAGATTAAGTGTACAAAAGTACCGGTAGTTGTAGCATAAAATTTCATAGACTGCATTACTGCACTACACTGTTATACTGCTATTATTCCACTTTTACTGCTACAGCTGCCTCCTGTGAAATCATGGGATTTGCAGTTTAGGGAAGGACATATAGAATTCTCAACCAGAGAGCTCTTAGGCCTCATTAAACTACAAACCCCTCAATGCCACAGGAGGCAGCCATAGCAGTAAAACTGGAATAATAGTGCTAGTGTAGTCTGGTATTGGTTTACTTCCTCAGAAGTACAACTTCTTTTGCACATTTTACAGATTACTACATGTGGCTGTTAAACTGCAATCAGAACCAGAAAAAAGTGGCTTTGGCAATACTTATTGCACAATGACATCCCTGACTCGTAGCTGCTGTGTCCCTCAAACACAGTTATGGCATCCCTTTTCATTGATGGGGGAATCTTGTCAATGAGCTCCCAATTGTGACAGTCCTCTGGTGTGAAATATCATTGGTGAGGCATTTGTAATAATAATAATAATAATAATAAAATTTATTTTTACCTCGACCCTCTGTTGAACAATTGGGGCGGCTTACAACAATTAAAATCCATACAAATCCAAAACAAACATCCCCCACCCTCCCCCCAT